GGGCTCCTCTTGCAACATTGTCCCTGCCTGGTCTGTGACAACCATGTCTCTTGCACAGTCCAGGAACTGTACATCAGATCAACTGTACTTGGACAGCAGCCAACTTCTGCCATCACCCACCCTTGCCCTGGGTCCATTTCTTTGGCCTTCCACAAAGCCGTACAACCAAACGTCAGTCTCCCAGTGCCCCAATTATCTCCACTTCCATCTCTTCTAGACACGTTTCCATCTTGATTTCTACTTTCCCCTGATTCCCCTCAATCTGCTCTAGGCATGCCTCAATCATCTCTAGACTAACGTCCATCAGAACGTCCATCCTTTCTTGGCCGCCTTTCATTGTGGCCATCAACTCCTCACTGTTGGTTCTCATTTCTTTTGGGTTGAAAGCCAACTTTAGCAGATAGAGGGTGTCTTGTGGTCAGCGCAACAAATCCCCACAGCTGTTAATTTCGGTTTTCTAGACCAGAGCCGCTGTTTCCTTGCAATAGCTCCTCAGTTATCCTCACAAGGCTGACTGGACCCAATTCCAGACCCACTACTTCTCAGAAAATCTGGTAGCGTGGGAAATCAAATCTGGACCTCTGGATCTGTAGCCAGAAGCTCTGATTAACTTTGCCGACAAGTGGCAGTCACTCGGTCAATATAGTTTGCTTGTGGACTAGAACCACAGAGTTATTTTTTTGTTTCGCTATTTAAAGTGCACATAATATTAAATTTAACGTTTTCATGTGGAACCATGTTTTTACTTGTAACAACTCCGTGTAATGTTTTGTATAACTAATGCCTCAGAGCTCAGCCCTTCTTGAAAAGCCACAAAGGATACAGCTACTCGAGAATTTCTCAACATTTTATGGAATCCAAAGGCTCATTACCCTGTTCACAAGAGCCCTCCACTGGTCCCTATTCTGAGCCAGAGCAATCCAGTCTGTGCTGCCCCATCCTGTCTTTCATAAATCCATCTTAATATTACCCTCCTGCCTATGTCTAGGTCTGCCTAGTGTTCTCTTTCCTCCTGTCTTTCTGACCAAAATCCTATACACATTCCGTTCCTCCAGATGTGTTACATGCAGTATACATTTCATCCTCCATGGCTTGATCATTCTAATTATACTTGGCGAAGAATACAAGTTATGAAGTTCATCTTAAGCAGCTTTCACCAACCTCCTGTCACTTTCATCTCTTTTTGGTCAAAATAATCCCCTCAACACCCTGTTCTCAGACACCCTCATCCTATGTTCCTACCTTAATGTCAGAGACCAAGTTTCACACCCATGCAAAACAACAGGCAAAATTATTGTTTTGTATATTTTAGGCAGCATGTGAAAAATAAAGAGGTTTTGGACTGAATGATAGCAAGCAGCACTCAAATTCAGTCTCCTCTTACTTTTCTTTTGAATCAAATTTTGATTTATTACTGCCGTTCTCAAATATTTTAACTGTGCCACATTTTCAAAGAACCTGTTAGCTATCTTTATGTTATGATTTTGCTGCACATTCTAGTGACAAGAGAGCAACATATTCTAGTTTTCTCTGTGCTTACTTTTAGACCAACTACCTTACTAGCATCACATAAATTCTCTTTGTTTTTCTTTATGTTATCTCCCAGTGGGGACACGCGGTAGTGTAGTTGGTTCAGGCACTATGCTACAAGCCAGAAGGTCGCAGGTTCAGGTCTTGATGAGGTCATTAGAGTTTTTCAATTCACCTAATCTTCCCAGCCACACTATGGCCCTGGGGTCGACTCAGCCTCTAACAGAAATGAGTACCAGGAATTAATTAAATAATTTTCCTGGGGAGTAAAGCATGACTGGCGCGTAAGGCTGACAACCTTACCACCATCTTTGAGCTGATTGTCTAGATAATGTGGGACCCTCAATGTGTCACAACCCTATGGGCCTTCACGGCCTGTTACAGGGATAACTATACTTTATTTCTTCTTCTTCTTTTTCTTTTTTATCTCCAAGTATACTCACATCATTAACATGCACCAGCAGCTGATGTGTGACTTTTAATTTCAGTCCCACCCGGTTTTCATGTACCTTTCTAATGGCATATTCAAAAGTAAGGTTGAAAAGCAATGGCAAAAAAGGATTTCCTATTTTTAGACAATTTTGGATAGGAAACATATCAGACAAACCTTTTCCTATATGGACTTTACTATGGGTTTCATTTAGACACATTTTATTCACCCTAACTAGTTTCATGGGTACCCGAAATACTACGGGAATATTGTAGGTGTACAATACTTCCCTCCCAACTATATCATAGACTTTCTTGAAGTGTATGAATAGCTGATGTTCTCTCTCATTGTACTCCCAATTTTTTCTCCAAAATCTGACAAATGTAAAAAATTTGATCAGTAGTTGTTCTGTTATGTTGAAACTCACGCTGATGATCCCAGTAAATTTGTCTGTGGATGGACAGAACCTTGAGGGTGGGATATTGGAAAAAAATGTGTGTGAAGTTGATTCCTTGATAATTACTACAAGCAGTTTTATATAGTTTTTCTTGTAAATTCGTAAAATAATGTACTTTTCCACTGATCAAGCAATTCTTCATCACTTCAGATAAATTTAATGAGTTATCTCAGACTGTAATGTTTCACTTCCTGCTTGAATCACTTCTGCCAGAATTTGATCTCTACCTGACAATTTATACTTTTTCAAATTTGCAGTAGCAGTTTCAACCTCAAAAGGAGTAGGGTCAGGCTGAGCTGTATGTATTTATATCTGCCTAACATCACTGACCCTAATGTACATTCAATATCTAAAAGTGGTTGTTCCATCTTTTCAAAATGTGGATTTTGAAGCAGATCATCATACTCTTCTAGGTTATGTTTTGAGTAAAGAACAAAGAAATCATTCGTTACAGAATAAGAAGTTGAATATAATATGAAAGGAGCCTTTTAATTGAAATAAAACCACGTTCATTGTTTATGTAAATATATATTTTTAAATTCTGTATTTTTTTTAAGTTTCCCGCCCCCCAGCGGCAGGTCGTGTCTCATACGCCATGCGTCTAATGCGTGTTGTCAGTTGTCACCCACTGGCTGTGAGAACAAGGAAGTATGGTGTAATAGTTATTATTCAGAAAGTAAAGTTTCATTCCAACAGCTTACGTGAGATGGGCGTTTATTATGGAGCCTTCAAGAATTAGTGTGGCGGAAACCGCATCAACAATCACCCTGGTGACAGAAGACATTCCCTTAATCCCCAAACATACTGATGACTTCTGTTCAAGGTTAGACACGAAGGAGAATATGTAGCATGTACAAGTGTTGACCAGATCGGTCGAAGGAGCAGGCACGCTTTCGTAATACCAAAGTGGCCCATGCATTTTCTATAGAACTTTTTGTAGTAAATATATTCAGGTTGTAATTTGCCAGTGCTTGCAGTACATTCAGTGAATAATTTGGGCGGTTCGAGTATGTAGTCGATCTGTGAAGAAAATATTTTACGTTTTGCCATGGGACAAGTAGTTACACAAGTTCGTGTAAGGAACAGGATTTTAGTCAAGCCACTGGTTTCACTGAAGTAAGAGTAAATTTTTGTTTTGTAGCCGGACACAAGGAAATTAACAACAACGGGAGTTTGAAATTATCTCATTGCCTAATTTATTTTTTTAGAACTCCCCCGCAAATATTCGGGCAGTTTGTATATTGCTGTTTTCACCAGCCTTATCGCAGGGTTGATAAGTCGATTTTGGGGAGGACGAGGTTGGATGAACGTTGTAGGACAGACAATTTTCGTATATGCGAGAAAGAAGGTAAAAAGGTAAAGCTGCCCCTGTAACAGGTCATGGAGGCCCATAGGTTTGTGAGACATCAAGACTGCTGCATATTCTAGACAGTTGGCTCAGAGATGGTGAGGTCAGCATTACATGCCAGCCACCCTTTCCCGCCAGAAGATTTCTGGTATTCATGTCTGGTAGAGGCTGAGGTGACCCCAGGGCCATAGTGTGGTTGGAAGGATTAAGTCAATTAAAAAATCCAGTGAAATCAGGAATGGAGCCCACTTCATTCTGGCTTCTAGCATAGTGCCTTAACGAACTATGCTACTGTATGCCCTCTGCATGAAAGAAATGGCATGTAAAGGAACTGTAGTTCCAAACGTTACTGGGTTAGTGAGGTAGTAACTTGTAGGTTCTAAACTGTTTAATGTGAAAGATCTTCACTGTAGCCAATCCTAAAGAAATGTCCCAACCACCAGTGAATGAATTATCTTTAATCAAACGTGCTGATTACTTCCAGGAACGTTTAAATGCTCAGGACATTTGTGCAGCATAATGCATGTTAAGCCCTATGAGATTTCTCATTCAAACATTCAGTACATTAGAAACCTGTGTTACCAAATGTCTCATTTACAGTCCTTGGTGTTCTGCCTTTGTTACACTTGCTGTTAGGTAATGGAAATTGTATGATTAAGACATCAGGGTAGAAACTTTGTTTCATGGAATTGTGAAACTGGGTAGTTCTTTGGAATTCCTTCAAAGTGTTTTGCATACCAAAACAGAGGCTAATGACTCATTTGGTAACCACAGTACAGAACTTCCTCATTTGCCTTGTTGGATAAGCTGTGTAATTTCAAAATTTATATAATGTATTTGAAAAATAAGAGGAAGTGTAACTTGGTCATTTATGGCTTGATACCTTAAGAAACCCATTAAGGTAGATTCTAAAGGTTTCTGATGGTGGTGTATAATACTCAGAATTACCAGATTTTTGGACTTTGTCAATCGTCCAGTATTCTAGAAACCAGAAAACGCAGCATTTCAGAAACTGGATCTGTTTCCGTCTTCAGGTGAAGGGACTACACCTCAGTTGGATCCCTTAGAAAGACCTAACCTCAGTCACTGGACCAGTGATCCAGTTTCTGAAACGTGTTTTCTAGTTTCTAGAATACCAGACAGTGGACAAAGTCCCGGATTTATGAAAAGATCTGTGTTCATATGTGTCCAAATTTTTTAAACTGTGTTATGAAATGATGAATCGTCCTTCCTAGATGTTGTTCGTGGTTATGGAGGAGATGCTGCCGAGAAAGAGAACTGAAATCTCGAACAGTTATTGTTGGTCATCCAGGTTCAGAGAAGTTCCCAGCAAATGTAATACGAAATCAGAAATACAATATTATAACATTTTTACCATTGGTAAGCATGGTAGTTCCATCTGATTTTAATTGCATGTGGCATTTAAAAATATCCTAATAGTATCGTTGTGGTTTGCGGGCTAGGCTAATTAATTTATGATTGAATTACGTAAAACTCAGTCAAACTGCAGATCATTATGTAAAACTCAGTCAAACTGCAGATCAGGTCCAGTGGCAGATTTCAGTGTTACATGTTGTTGAATCTGTGGAGTTTATTTTCAGTGTTCATAGTGAGATGACTAGCAATTCAGCGGTACTTTAACCATAGTGCAGAATTAATAATCCATGGAATTCCAATCTAATGTTAAAAATCTTGTCTATTAAGTGCCTAGAAAATAAAAATAACAGTGAAAATATCACAGTTATTGAATTCGATTAATTCCTCAGAATGATTCTACAAGATATACATTTCTGAAAAGTGTCATTTATTTGTGTTTTCAAAATTAATCATATCTCGGTAAATGTGCCCTTCCTGGCCTTTCTGTCTGAACATGGTTTTACTCATTATTTAGAAACCTTTGCTGTGGATGGTAAAACTGACACTGTTTGGATATTATTTATTGTTTCAGGTACTATTTCAGCAGTTCAAGTTTTTCTTGAATCTGTATTTTCTTGTGATGGCAACAAGTCAGTTCATACCTGATATCAGAATTGGATATCTCTACACATATTGGGGTCCTTTGGTAATATAACTTCGGACTAACATTGATGTAATATTGTATGTAACAGTTACAGTAACAGCTGTTTGGAACATAAATTTATTTGTCCATCATTTTGCAGACCTTTGTATTAACAGTGACAATATTCCGTGAAGCACTTGATGATATTCGTCGACATCGTAGGGACAAGGAAGTAAACAGTCAGAGGTACAGACGTGTGGTGAGAGGAAGAGAGACCTCAGAGCTTGTCCCATCTTCAAAGCTTCGTGTTGGAGATTTGGTTAGTATTTGTGAGTCGGGAAATTTATTGTATGATGCAGAATATGGTGTATGGGTACAGATGGAAGTAAAATATTAGAAAACAAAGAAGCAATGAGTGATACATCATTTATCTGTTCATTATGTATGAGTGTATGCAAGAAATGTAGTTGTACCCACTGTCTATGTGGGTCTTCTGATTCATGGAAAATCTAAAGGTTAGAGCCTTGTAATAGCTGAGGTGGGTTATTCACCAACTTCTAGCTTCAGAGACTCAGGGCAACCCATGTGGGATTTGTGGTGAAAATAAATGGCACTGGGGAAGATTTTACTCCAAATATCTGAGTTTTTCTTCTGCGAGTTGTCATTCCACCAGTGCTATATTCTCATCCATTATCATTAGCTGGTATAATAGGCCCATTTGTGGCCACAGCACTGAGGGACTCATTCTTGCCTCACATCAAGAACAAAAGAGAAGAAGTTTACAGCAGTGAATAAATTGTTCTCTCTGGTATGCGGAATTTGAGAATGTGCCAGTGGTGCACCATGTGTAGTGCACATGAGGTTCCCAAGTGTTATTCCGTAATGAAATGGTATCACATGTCAGAGTAAAGAGGATACATGACTAAGCCACATGCCAGTAGAAATGCAAGTCAGACACAGAAGCTGTGTGTGTTGCAGTATGGGTTCCTAGAGGACCCTAAGACAACTGTCTGTGGAGGTTACAGTACTGTATCAGATTCAGGAACAAAACAAACCTTAAACACTAAACTGTAAGTTAGTGTTTCAGTTGCTAGAGCCCCCCCCCCTTTTTTTGGTGAGATTTGAAGGTGAGATCACTAAGATATTGGTATTGTGCATTCTAGCTATCACACTTCTCTTGTTTTTGTGTCTTGATTATGAAATTTAAACCTTCTGAATTGATGTCAAACCTTATCCCTGTGTAAAGTAATTACTGATATATGAATATTCCTTTGTGATGTGAGCAATATTTTAAGGTGGATCATTTCTGTTTAATATTTATCACATATAGGCATATACTGTGGTTTAAATTTATATCCGAAAAATACACTTAGATGTGATATACACTTTTCTAGGTTTGACATTTTCATGAAGATGATAACTTGAGTGATACATTAGTCACAGAAATATTACAGGTGATCGTGGAGAAGGACCAGCGTGTCCCAGCAGATTTGGTTCTTCTGAGGACAACAGAGCGGTCAGGAGCATGTTTTGTGAGGACAGATCAGTTGGATGGTGAAACGGACTGGAAGCTAAGACTTGCTGTTCCAGCAACACAGAAACTGGAGTCAGATCTGCAACTTTTTGATATCAAAGCATCTCTCTTTGTCGAGAAACCACAACGAGACATTCACAGTTTCATAGGGACTTTTACAAGGGTATGTAATATACTTACGCAGACATTTGTATCTTTTACTGTTTGTTGATATATATTCTTAACATTCACAGTTTTATCTGTGGTGGAATTGAAGGTTTCTATCTGTGAGCAGAAAAACCTGTACATGATCTGACCAGGGGTCAAACTCGGGTGGATGTACAATACCTAATGATGTCTGAAAAGCTGAAAAGTAATGTGTGGTACAGTGTGTTCAGCAGTCAAGGAAACCTGACAACAACACACACCAGAAAACATATTTCTCCCGGAGTGCTGCTGTAGCTGCCATTAGCACTGATAAACACGCGCTGTCAGGTAGTCTGGTCTTGTCACTGTAGTAAGTCTCATTAATACTCGGTCTTTGTTAGAGGTGTCAATAGGCAGGTGACATACACAGCGTGTGTTGAAACTTTGGCAAGGAAGAAACTTACAGAAAATGTATCTGCAAGATTTGTGTAAATATCCTTACTCGCTAGTTCCCACAAAGTTGTGTGTATTCAAGCTTGTGAAAAAGTGGCAGGCCTCAGGTTTGATGTGTAACATAAAGAAGCAGTTGAAGAGGATTGTGTTGGCTGAAGAAAAGGTTTGGGATATTGAGGCATGACTACAGGCCCATTATTTTTCCACAAAACCATGAACTCTGACCGCTACATTAATGAGACACTGAATCTGTTCTTCAATCAGCTGACTGCTGAAGAAAGACAATATGGGTATTTTCAGCAAGACATCGCTACAGCACATACAGATAATGCAACCATGGTCACAATATGGGAAGTGTTTGAAGACAGAATAATCAGCAGGGGACTGTGGCCTCCCAGATCCCCAGACCTCAGTTTCTGTGAATTTTATCTTTGGGGAAACCTAAAGGGAAAAGTCTACAGAAATAATCCTCACAGCACTGAAGCTCTGCAGAATGAATGCAAAAGTTTCAACAATAAACACATGCTGTTCAGTAGTGAAATTAATTTCAGTATAAATGTTGACTGCGTATCTACACCTCTAACAAAGACTGACTATTAATGCAACTTACTGCAGTGACAAGATCAGACCACCTGACATTGCCAGTGACTCATTCTGCTATCAGCAGTTACAGCAGGAATCTGTGAGAAATGTTGTGTCCGCTGTGCACTGCTCCTAGGTTTCCTCGATGATTGAAGGCCCTGTATATGTATAGATTATATTGACAGTACCAAATAATGAACATAACTCGCACAATATTACACTACAGTACAGTATTTTATTACTGTGTCCAGAAGAGCTCACCACTAGTTTCAGTCCTGAGCCTGAAGAATCCAATCCATATCCCCTCCCCCCAACCCCCAAATCTGTTTTTCTGAGATCCATGCTGATATGTTCGCACCTATGTCTAGGTCTTCTGGTGGTCTCTTCCTTTCTGGCTTTCCCACCATAACCCTGTATGCATCCCACATCTCCCCCATGCATTCTACATGCCCTACGCATCTCATACTCCTTTACTTAATTCTAATTACATTTGGCAAGGAATACAAGTTATGGAGCTCCTCGTTATGCAGTTTTCTCTA